AATGATAATAAAAGAGTAATTATCAAATAGGTGTGTGGTATATTACAAACACAATGTTCGAAAAGATTTAAGATATAAATGTGTAGAATGTAATGTAGGACCTTTTGCAGCTCTATGAAATGTGATTATTGGTGAACACATTTAAAATTTTTTTTTTATTTTGTAAGTAAAAAAAATGATGATTTTAAAAAAAACAGGACATTTAAAGACCACTTTAAAAAAAACTGGACTATTAGCATTTGTATTTTAAAAACAACAGAAGACTGTTAAATGGTTAATAGTTAGTTTTAACTAAAGTTAATATATGAGTTTAAGTTGTTACCTGTTGTACGCAAACTAAATATGAGCAATATCTAATAAAACTAAATTAAAAAATAACAAAACCAAGAATAATGTTTTCTGCCTCAGAAATATTGAATATAAACAAGCTTGTTTTGATTTAAATTGATTGATTTAAATTAGTTTATTTAAATCCATTTAAATCAGACAAATTGTTCTTAATGATTATTTATTGATTAAATCTCATATTTCAAAAATAAAATTATAATAAGATGTACGGCAATATTAGAAAACTCTCTATAAGTAGAATGTAGATTCTATTAACTGATAAAAAAAACTATATTCATTTCTAATAATGTTGTTACTAATAGTGATGTTACAAAAACCTTTGATGCTACAATGGAACTTTTTCTATATTGTTTTATTATGTTAGTAGATAGGGTTTCACACTCAAACACAGAAAAAATCAAAAAAAAAAAAAAAAAATTTTAATGTAAAACATCAGCTTCTTACAACTGCAACACCACTATACTACAGTCTACTACAGTCTGCAGTAACTCTTTCGTAAATATACAATACTACTACAGTCTGTAGTAGTCACAACTCTAGTGATATATTATTAATACCTTTAATAACATATAACATATTATCTATATAGTCTAAACTATTATCAATAAATTTTTTTATAAGTTCTTTTGATACTTATTTATGCATGACATTTCAAATATTTGCTTAATTTAATAAAGAAGACATTTTAAATGTCTTCTTTATTAAACATTGAATTCTTTATTAAACATTGAATTTTTGAAATGTTTTATTTGTTAAAAAAGATTATTATTAAAACATAGCTTATTTTTATTAAATTTATGTTGTAAAAACATGGAAAGATAATATAAAATCCTTTTTTTATTCTGTAAACGATACCAATTTTAAAAGATGTTTTGCAACAAGTTTAAAAATATATTAAAGAAATCATCCGCAACTACATTGGCCAAATATTGGCTACGGCATCAGTATAAAAACAGCAAAATATTAAACCGTTACTACATTAGCCAAATGCTGGCCCAACATAGTACAATATTTGTAAGAAAACAATTTGCATAACTAATATAATACGCTGAAAAAAACATTGGCTAACTGTTGGCCCAATGTAGTGCAATATTTGCAAAAAAACGGGTTTGCAGAATTTAAATAATACGCCGAAATAAACATTGGCTAAATGTTGGCCCAAAAAAATAAATTTGCCAATGTTAAAACTTACATTGGGCCAATGTAAATTTAATGTCTGGGAATTGATACTATAAAATGTGTCTGGCAGATCAGTCAACACATTTTAAGACATATTTTCTGCTGACATAAAATATGTCCTACATATAATTCAATGGCTTATTTTTACATAATCCTATGTTTAACTTTTTTCTGCTTACATTTAATATGTCTGACACATTTTCTATTGACACAATTTGACATAATTTCATGCCTGAAATATTTTCTGCTGACATAAAAAGTGTCCCACATATTTTCTATTGACATAATTTTAAGTCTGAATTGTTTTAGTAATTTATTTTTGACATGTTTTAACATATAATATTTCCGACATGTTTTCTGTAAACATATTTTGACATTATTTTATACCCAAAATGATTTCTGTTTCAGAATAAATGAAACTAATTTGGTTGTTAATGTTATTGCTGATTTTAATAATGTTATTGTTAATTTTATTGTTGTTTGGTTGTTAATGTTATAACTAAATTATTTGCCGTTCAGAATAAGTCAAATTATTTTGCTAACATGTTTTAATTTATTCTAAAATGCTTTATTAAATTATTTGTTCGTCTTTCATTTTAATAATATAAAACATAAAACATTCACAAATTAAAATTATGTTAAAATATGTTACGACATATTTTGACATAAATTTGTGTCCGGAGAAAATAATTCAGACATAAAAATATGTCAAAATATGCCGATAGAAAACATGTTACACATGTTTTATGTCACCTGAAAATTAATCAGACATAAAATTATGTCTAAAAATGTAGTTAGAAAATATGTCAGACATAATTTATGTCAGTAAAAAATAGTTCAGACATAAAATTATCTCAAAATATGTGAATAAAAAATCTGTGGGACATATTTTATATAGGCAGAAATTTTAATTCAGACATATTGGACAGATAGTAATTCTGTTTAAAATCTTAACAGGCTATGAATGCGAGTTCCATTTACCTTTTATTAATAGACAAGTGAACGTGAACTGCAACCTTATTTTTTTTTTGCTTACATACATTTATTAGATCCTCCCCCAGCCTCCTCTATACGCACTAATACGCAAAGTAGTCAATTTGGGACACACACCCGCTCCTCTATAGTATAGAGTATAATATCCCCATATAGTATGTACGAACCAAGGTTCGTACATACTATATGGTTGGTCACTTATTAGTTTTTTAATAAAAACCAATGGGAAGATTAAACATTTTGTCTACTAACACAAAATATCACACAATATCATAACTATAATAATATAACACACAACAATAACACATGGTATAAGATATTTGTAAGTATACATTATACTAAATATTTATAGACATTAAATGTTTCTAGAATAATTAAAAAAAGTTAGACAACAAAAACTAGCTCCAGAGCAGTAACGTCTTGGTGCTCAGCACTAAATACTGTCACACCTATGCTAAGTACACCGATTAGCTAGCAATCTTGTTCTATACATAAAAAATGACATTTATTATTTTCTATAATTAACAATTATCTGTAAAAAATGTTGAAAAAACTTTATAAATATAAAAACAACTTCAAAAAACTCATTAAATAAAATTAAATGATTTACCAGAATTTGCTGCTACATATAAAACAGAAAAATAAAAAAATTAATATATGAAAAAATCAACTTTATTAAACACTGAAGATTAATGTTAAAATAAATTTTTTTTTAAAATATAAATAAAAGATGTTACCGGAAGTAAATGATAATAAGTACTCAAGACAAACAAAATTTGTTTTTATTTATTTCTTTAAAAATGTAAAAAGGGTAATCTAATATTAACTCATAAAGTTCCAATTTATTTTAAACTATATATTTATATTTTGTTTTAAATATTTTCTATTGTTTTGAGTTACATTAATAAAGCAATATATTTATTTTATTATTTATTGTTGTATTAGTATATTTTTAGCCATGTTAATGTTCAAGGTCTTGTGTGATATGGAGAAAAACAAGAAATACAAAAAGTTACATTGCATTTCTTACAAAATGTACAAGGTTTAGCGGTTCAAAATATGTTTTGACATCTTCTCTGATTTTCTCTCTTCAAAATAAAATGATTTTTTTCCATCAAACCTACATTTGTTGGCACTTTACTCATTGATGACAACCATTTCACAGGTCTTTCTTTAACATGTCTTTGATGTGATCCCAGCTTTAAATATGGCTCTGCAATCTACCTTCTGTACTATTTCATTGAAATCGAATTACTTTCATGAACGAAATTATAAATACAATATGTATTTACTATGCACATGTTAATAAGATGAGTAAAGAGGCATCGGTACCTCTAAATTTAATTGAACGTTATTCCAGGAGTCTATCATGTAAATCTACGTCTCCCACAAACTTATTTTAGTTATCAATTACCAATGGTTGGGGAAATTAAATAAGTTCCTATTTCTTTTGGTATCTTCTGATATTAACTTCAAGACTGATAATGGTAAAGTTTGTTCTAAGGGTTGCACTTCTATTATCGTTCCATCTAATTATTGTGACTTCATTATTTTTATCGAATTTGAATTCATAATAACTTCTTGAACTTTTTTCAACCATCTTTGCTGACATGAGTGGACACTTGCAATTTCTAATTTGTGTATTATAGTGTATTATAGATTTCAACTCTAAATATTTGTTTCTACTAAATGCCTCTTTAACAACTTTTAAACCAAGATCTTCATCTTCCGACCAGTAATTTTTCTGACTTGGCAACGAATGGTAGCCAGATAAAATTAGAAATCCAACAAAAGTTTTTATACCATCAATTGATACATAGATCGACTGTTTATTTTTATATTCACATGCATATCTCCTTGTTTTTTTAGCAATCAAAATATAAATATCATTAGAAAAAAAACTTTAAAATACTTCAAGAAATGACAAATCAGTTAGTTTATTATTCGGAATTATTATTGAAACTACTGTACTGAGGATTTGAATCTACCCATAGGTGATTGTACTTCTTTAACTTCTTTTTTGGTATTTCCATCAACTCATCTTCTTTTTTTTTACAGTCTCATTATGTATTTGAATCTTAAGTTGTCATGGAACATCACTTACATCTGGGGCTTCATCCCCATCTGGGGCATTTATCCTCAAACTTTTCGCTGTCCGTAAGTTCATTTACGTCTGTTGGAAGAGCAAGGATATCTGCTTCACATTCCTCAGAAAACAAATAACTTCATCCAATGTTGTAAAAATTCTACTTCTTTTTATAGACATATCAAAGCCTAAAACAAAATTAAAAAAATTATAAAATATGATGTCCTTTATTATATTTTATAACCTGTAATACCAATGTCCTCACTTGAGGACATAGACTTTACAGCAAATTTTTTTATTAAAAAATTAAAAATGACGACATAAAAATACAACAGAGTATTAGTATACAACTGCAGAACATGAAAATAGAGTATCAAGTTACTTACTTCAAAGGAAGTCGTTTTCAAGCTGGTGAACATAATCTTGCAGAAAAAAACTGATAAATCTCTTCCAACTTATGAATCAATTGTAACTGGAGTCGAGTTACACTGATCTCTCATCTGGTAAAATACAACAAGTGTATGTCACTAGTGCTACCTATGAAAACAAATAAAATATCCCTCTATTTGTAAATATATACTTCCTTAATATCCTTAATTGAGGATACTGGGACCTAGCGGGTTAAGAAAATTAAATTAATACATAATTGCTATCAAAAAAATAAGTTTGCTAATATAAAAATTTTGTTTAAAAAAGGATAGTGTTATATAGTTTTAAAACGTTTTGTTCTAGTAAAACTTTAAAAACAACACATAATGATTGATAAAAAGATTAATGTTGAAATGTATTTTTTTTTTTTTAAATATAAATAAAAAACTTTACAGGAAGTAGCAGCTGCTACTGAGAATACAACATCTAAATGGCAAGTAAAAACTCAAGACAAACAAAACTTGTAATTAAATTGACTTTAAATAAAAAGTTTTATTTAAATGAGTGTTTGAAAAAAAATTTACAAGTATTAAATCAACAAAAATTAATATTATAAAAATTTACCTAAAATTATTAAAAGTATAACTTAATCTAAAAAGTATAATTAATGATAAGAACACTTTAACTTTTTGCTATTATTTTAACTATTTTTTCATTTTTTTTTAACACTCTTACCTGCTTAAAATATAAATATACAATAACTATTAGTGCATTGTCAAACATTAAAAAGAATTCTAACATAAAAATAATGAATAGGAAATTTACACAAATCGTTATTTGTTTGACCATCAAAAATTTTTTTATCCTATTATTCTCATTATTTTTTATTTATTTATTTTTTTTAATTAGCCTTTCATTTTTAAGCATAACAAAAAAATAATAACAAAGTGACTTGAACTAAATAAAAAGAGAACCAGCTCCTTCCAATGGTTCTTAATAATACAATTTTTATTAAACAATATAATAAAAACTTAATCTTTTTTTTAAATATTTTCATACAAATTGTTTTATTCAGGAGAATGGAACATATGGAGCGAATGTAGTCAAACATGTGGTCTTGGTTATAAAATTAGTTATTTAAGAACAATGTTGCCATCTAAACAAAATGTGAAACGTTTTGATATGTGCATGTACTTCAAGTGTCCAGGTTTGTAATTGACTTTTTGTTAAATGTTTTCCAATTATTTTTTAATTTATAAATACAAGGCCGGATTTTAGTTTGGGGTCTTTTGCCTTTTAAGGAAATTGATAAATCATCAACTAAGTAGTGATTAATGACATAAGTTTATTACCGATCAAATCACATTAATAAATAATACAGAAAATAATGTGCATTCAGCCATTGAGCTACACTTTCTTTAGGAATAGAATCAGTTTGTCAGACTTGAAAAGTGTCACGTTTTATTTTACCTGGGGTAAATCATAGTTGTACTTTCCTAGCTTTTTGGTTTGCAAAGTTATTGATGTATCATCAAAATTAGTTTCCTTTATGATGTCACTTTTAATACACATAGAAGCCAGGTTAATGAGCTGTTCTTGAAACATTGAGGTAACCAACCTATTTTCTAATAAGTTTCTGTCTAGGTAACAATCGTACCATAAAGCAGTTTGCTATCATAAACTTAAGGTTAACCTGGAGCACATTCTTAGCATTAAGAAACTGATCATGCACACCTTTCTTGTGTATAATTGAATAACTAAAATTTTCTTTGCTCGCGTCTATACATTTTTCATTAAAAAAACACCTTAACAAATACTTGAAATTGCGGTAAGTCATTTCTAATAGAGGATGAGTTCAAGTTATTCCTCATTTAAACTACTCAAATTATTTTTTGATATAAACTAGAGCTCATTTTTAAAAACACATTATTCAAAAATTTTCAATTAAAACTTTATCGATAAAAAACTTATTTTTCGGATTTTGTAAAAAATTTCGAAAATTATCGAATAGCTAAAATAACTTCAAAAACTTAAAATTACTTTTGAAAACTCATTTAATTTTGAAAAAAAAAGTATACTAAACTAACATCGAAATTTAAGTTGAATAAGGTGTAACCATACATTCGTGATCGTGACATTTTTATAAATAAGGTTTAAAAATATGCAATAAAACTAACACTTTTATATATATATATATATATATATATATATATATATATATATATATATATATATATATATATATATATATATATATATATATATATATATATATATATATATATATAAATATATATATATATATATATATATATATATATATATATATATATATATATATATATATATATATATATATATATATATATATATATATATATATATATATATATATATATATATATATATATATATATATATATATGTATATATATATATATCTTTGGTCGCGTACTGTCTTGAAACTTTTTAGCCACACAATAAAAATACTTTGACACAAAAAAAAAAAAAAAACACGTTATAAAAGTTAGTATAAACTCTGGGAAGTTTATGCTAACTTTGATCCTGTACTTTTATTACTATGTCAAAACGCTAGCAAAAAAAAGTTATTTTGAAAAATAAGGCAGAATAAAATTTTCAAACGTTTTTAATTATTGTGTTATAAAAGTTTTGAAAAAATTTCAATAAAAAGGTATAAAATAAAAAATTAAACCTTTCTTTCCCGATATTTGAAATTAAAAAAAATAAATTAAAATGGCATTAAATATTAAAAAAACAACAATTGCGTATCGGCGAATTAATTTTTAAGTTGCCATTTAGTAAAAAGTAGCAAAACCTAGATATTACTTAAAATTAAAATAATAATAAAAAAAGCCTTGTTTTTTGATTTTAAAAATTGTGTTACTATATGGCAACATTGGGAAAGATAGGGTTAAATTAATTTCATACTCTACAAATATGTTTTTTTTTTATTATATTACAACTGTAAAAATTTGAATTATTTCTAAACTAAAATTTTGAAAAATAACTAAACTATAAATAAACTAGCAAAAGCTATGTAATACTTTATTAATTCTGTGTCTAAGATCAAAGAAAGGCCACATGAACATATATGCTCCGGTAGGTAGAAAAATGCATTAGCGAAATAATCACGTTACAGAAAAAAGCTATATAAAAAATCGTCAACTCTTAGCATAACAGTTTGAAAATAACTACATATTTATTATGCAGTTTAACTGTTAACACAATAATTACATATTTATTATATAATTTCACTATCAACATGCATTCGGCAGATGCAAGGTGAAAAATCTTTTTACCTCGTTTGTGTTCTGTCAACTTTTCTAGATATAAAAATCGCTCCTAAGATTATTGTATCTAAGACGAATACATCTGGGAAACAAACAACATTACTCTAAATTATTGTTGTTTTTTTCTCCCAGGCAGAATGTTTTTCATACATATGAATAGCCCTTTAGAACAATTTTACATATTCGTTTTGCATACTTGTCCGACTTTTAATTTTTTGTTATTATAAATTTTCATTTAAATCCAGAATTAACGTAATAAAATAAATAGTTTGAAGTGATTTTAAGAATTTCGAAAGTAAAAAAAAACTTCGATAACGTTTTTATGATTTCGATATAATCAAAATATTTTGATTCAAATCATAGAGATTTGAGAATGAAATATTTCTTCGGTGCCATTTTTAAAATTTTGATCGGATAAAAAGTTTTCGATGTAAGTTATAAAGATTCGAAAGTGAACTTGGAAATGTTTCGGTGCCCTTTTTAGAAATTTGATAATATAAAAATATTTCGATACAAATTATAGAGTTTCGAAAGTGAATGATTGTTTCGGTATATTTTCGATAATGTAAATATATTTCGATACACTTTCCAAAGTTTCGAAATCGAAAACTAATTTCGGAGGTATTTTTAGGGTTTCGATACTTCAAAAATTTATTGATAGAATTTCGTGAATTTCGTAAAGCAAACCTCATTTTGGTTTGAAATTAAGTAACTAGAAATCATTTCAAACTTAGCGAAACAAAAAAATTTTTTCGAAAAGATTTTTTTTAATCAAAAACTCAACTTTTGCAAAAAGTGAACAACCCTAATAAAAACTTGAAATCTGTGCAGCGACTCGGCAAACCTGCACAACTTTAAAAAAAAATGGCAAGCTTTTAATGGTAAATAGTGAATCGCAATGTTTGTTTGATATGTTTGAAAGTAGATGTTTAAACAAAGACATTAACATAGATACAGATATAGAAATGAACAAGTATCTGCCATTTGATATAAGAGAATGACTCTTGACTCAAAAATCTAATGTAAATTTAATTTATCAATAGATAATTTTTAACATGTTTGGAAAAAGTTTACTCTATTTAATAAAGGAAGTACCACTATGTCAATTAAGAGCTATCGTTAGAGCAACAATTTTTTTTTATTTAAGTTTTTGCGCCAAATCGTACTGTCTTTCCTTTTTTTCAAAATACTTATACATATTAATGGTTTAGTCATAGACTAGAAATCCTTGTATGTTATAAAATGTGGCATATTTGAATGATAGTTTAGTTGTTTGACGGAAAAAAAAAGTATCTTCTAAAAAATTCCTAGTCTTTAAAAAATTGTCAGAGTTAAAAAAATTTGATGATTTCATCTGAAGAATTGATGAGTTAGGGCTTTCTTCTTAGTGTTTTTAATAGACGAATTAATTTGATTGGCCATTAAACCTTTTTCAACGCTAAGGCAATACAATTAGCAGTTTTACCACCAGTATACTCACTCTAGACACAACAGTAAACTTCGAGAAACAGTGATAATAAAAAGTGATAGTTTCCTTTTAATAAAAAAATTTAGTATATTTTCTCTGATGCTGATTAACGTTTTCCATATTAAAACATAAAACAATTTATTTGCATTCTCTAAACTCTACCTTTCTTGATAGGAATCTGTCTTAAAAAAAATTGACACTGAAGTTGTATTTTTCACTCTAAGCTATTAACTGCTTTCTCTATATTCCATTAATTCAGTTCACAGCAGCAACATTAGTCTGATTTTAGCCTTGAAAAATCTATATTACATTTATTATTAAACACTACTTTATACTGATGTATTAACATATTGAATACGTAAGCAATATTCAGTTAATAAGTCACACATTAATGACAAATTCAACTTATTTTCAAAATTTTCTCTTTGGTAGTGCTCCTGCAATAATGAAATTCAATGCTTAGAAACAAATTTACGTTAGTACCAATTTCGACCAACAATGCTTGTGACAATTTGTACTTTATGTGCTTCTCATTTCTCCTTTTCAACTTCTGTATATTGATTGGTAAAAGTTGCGTGAAAATAATGCACTATTTTTCGAAAAGCGCAAAGATTTCATATATGAAACGTTTTACTAACTCTGTAAATAATGCTGTAATTTTCAATAAAATATTGATAAGAGTACTATTTTTTGATATTGTTATTTTTTTATGATTAAGTTTCCTACATCAGGGATAATTTTTAATTCATAAGAAAATATGCACTTTAAGCAGTTACTTTCAACAAATTTTTTTTCTTCAACTTTTATCCCTCTTGAAATATATTGGATTATGGATTTCCTCTTTGAAATCTATAATCCTATATATTATATAATCTATAATCCTATATCCATTATAAAAAAAGAGATTTGGTACAGTTTACGGTCTGCCATCCTGAATGATAAAAAGCAAACTGCCTGATTGGCTAGATATAGTACTTTTTTTTAGTAGAACAAATAAGCAATGCAATATTTTTCTTGTTTGGAGATGAACGTATTTTTGCAATGCTTTATTGAAAATTAGTTAAAAAAGTGGAGATAAGAAAAAGTGAATTCAAATTGACACGCACTAGACGCTTGATTACAACAATTAAAATGTATAGATTTTGATGCTTTAATAACTACTTTATTGTTATATTGTTTTTTAAAAAATTGAAGAATAAATAAGCAATCAGGTTGTGTGATGTTGGTCTTTAATTTGTATTAAAGGCTTTTAGTTATTTTTTTTATTTTGATTAATTTTAATATTATCATTACATTGAACATTTACAATAATTAAGCAAACTGAAAATTGCGACTTAATGGCAATGGTGTAGTAGTTAAAACTTCTGGTAGATAAAACATTTTCACTGCAAGTCTTTCAGGAAAAACTAATTGAACACCATTTCCAAAGTAAAACTTTAACAACTTCTGCAAATAAATGCAGTATAATTGCACCTTCATAAATTTGTTAAAAAATTTTAAATCCAAATTCTCTTGAAAATTTACTTGTTGATCAAAAGGTTGTTACTATAATTTTTTCATTCTAGTGATTTAACCAACTCACAAAATCATCTACTAAATTCAAAGCTTTTAAAAATATCTTCCTTTTTGTGTTATGTTCAACGCTGTTATTTACATTTAGCGAATCAAAAACAATATTCATCATAATTATATCAATCATAACAAGTCTCTGTAGTTTTTAGTGCTGTAGTTCTAGTTTACCTAGACCCGTATATATTACTTGCTATAGTAGTATATACGTGTCTAGGAAAACTAGAACTACTTCATGTTATAAACCACTAGCTATAGTAATAAATAACAAGTAAAAATGTATATATTTTTGCTTGGTTATATATAATGTAAAAATAACTAGCTGTCCTGACCCGTTTTACAGGTCAGGAAAGCTAGTTGTTTTTACATTATTATAACAAGTAAAATAATCTTTGAAAAAATTATATTAATGTGCTTTATTTCGCTTCCAAAATGCATCTTTCTTATAACTATGGTTTCACCTAAATAAAATTTTCTACATAAAAAATCTAACTTGTAAACTCTAGGATACGAGTTGTTGGTCGACAAGTATTAACTAAAAAAAAAAAAAAATAGTTGAGGCTTGTTTTTTTTGTTTCAATTGTTAAAGGTTTTTTAATAATTTTTAGTTATTATTTATTGATGGTTTAAAGTGATTTAAAAACTGTAGAAAGATTCTAGATTTATATATTCTAAGCTGCATAGTTTAAAAGTTCAATAAATTAAAACTATTGATTACACTATAAATTATTTTTGAATTGTGGCAAGAATGCCACTTTATTTGCCTATGGTTATAGCATCTTTGGTATAAATATTAAAAAAGTACGTTACGGGTTTGTTATTTGTTAATAAGAGATCAAAAAAGTTTGTTGCATGTGAATCATTTTTATTGTTCTTAGAAAATGTTAATTGATTTTTTTATTGAAACTGAAAAGTAAATATTAACAACATCGTAAGAAAATCGAAATTTATTAGGATTGATCCTATTTGTGATTTTATACCGTGATTTCGAAGTTTTGTTTAGTTAAGATTGAAGGTCTATTGAATAATATTTCCTTGATAATTGGATAATTTATTATTTGAGGATAGTAAATGATCGGGGCCCTGTCCCTAGCCTCGGCTAAAAATGAAACATTTTGCTAACCCATACATGGCCAAGTGATTATTATAACATTTCACAAGGGTTGTTAGCCGGGGCTAGAAAAAAAATTATAATACTAAATATATTATAATTTTATGCTTACATTTAATATTTATTATATACTGGCATACATGTATATATCTTTAAAATTTAATTTACTTTTAACAAGATTACAAGCAATCACTATTATGTTATGAGTTACTTTAAAATAGAGAACAAGTTATAAAACTTGGAAAAATATAAATGAAGAGTTAAAAAGTTGTATGTTGTTTAAAAAATTAAAATGGGGAAGAGTTTTAATGTTTTTTTGATTTTCAAGTAAAAAACTGAGTTAAAAAAAGTTTTTTGACTTGAAAGGATAGATACAGTTAATTGCAGAAAAGAAAAAGAAACACAACCTGATTGTATTTGTAAAAGAAAAAAAGAAATGCTGTATTACTACAATAAGAGAGTGGCTCAAACTTGGCATAACATAAACACAAAACGTTCAACCAACGTTGCAAACGTTTAAGTACGTTCTATGAACGTTCTTAGAACGTACTTAAACATAAACAACGTTTGTCGAACATTCTTAAACATTTTGTGTTAGCTGGATTATTACATTTACAATGTGCTTTTAGATTTTGTTTGAGTTAAAAAGTGCTGTCATTCGTCAATATAGAAATACTAACAACATTGCAACATTTTTTTTGCAGTAAATAAATGAGTTTTTTGTCTAACAAAATTTTTGGATTTTAAGTCCAGAATTTATATCCATAATTTCCTGCAAGCCTCAGGCTGTTACAAAACAAAGATAAGATTTAAAATCGGCTGCTTGTTCTAAGTAATTAAAAAGTGAAGATTTTTTGTCAAGACAATAGTATAAAGTTGAGTTGTCAGCAAATAGAGCCACCTTAGATTTCATGAAGATTGATATAGCAGATAAGAAACAACACAAGAGCACAAACAGAACCTAGTGGTACCCTTAAAGCTACTTGAAATAAAAAAAGAGAGTAGGCCTTCAAGAATAGCTTTACTTCTGTAGTAGAAAAAAATAGTTTAATTAATTTAAAACCATATAAAAAGAAACTAATAACAAAGTGAAGACTGTAGGTCTTGTTGTAGGATAGTTGGAAAGGTCAAAGTGTTTTCTAGAATTTAAAAAAAATGGAACCACTTAGTACTTTTTAAAAGTTTAAAACAAATGAACACAATAATATTACACTTGAAATCAAAAAAAAAAAGAAACTATATATATATATATATATATATATATATATATATATATATATATATATATATATATATATATATATATATATATATATATATATAATATATATATATATATATATATATATATATATATATATATATATATATATATATATATATATATATATATATAAAGACGGTATTTATAACCCCAAGTTATATATACCGTCTTTATTAAAGTTATCATTGCATAACGTATATATTAATGTAAAGATTTTTTAATAACAATTAATATCATAAAAATATGCTTTAATTTGATTTTTTTACAAAAATTTTATCTAGGATCTCCGCTCATAAAAAAAATTATAGTTTGTTGTTTTAATATTATAATAATTGGGGAAATCATATGGTGCATCTTTTGTACGATTATAAAACTTGGTTTAACATTTACTTAGTTATTATGAATTTTAACTAAAATGAATTTTAAATTAGACTAAAAATGTTATAATGTTATTAAGTAGAAACAAGCTAAATAAAATTTTTATTATTTAAGATTGATTTATTGATAAGAATTTATTAAATCATGTAGTGGATTGGAAATGGAGTTCATGGCTTGAATACGAATCATTTTCTAATTCGTGTGGTAATTACTTTACAAAACGAGAAAGATTTTGCACTAACTATTTACCTACAGATGCAGATGTTGGATACGAATGCTTTGGTCTCAGTCAAGATTTTCATTTTCTTGAAAGTTGGATATGTCCGGGTAACATCTATTTAATATTATTTTAATAATAAAACAAAGTGACTAAAGTTTTATTATTAAGTTTTAAACTTAATAATTTGTTTTTGTTTTCATTTTTAGCTCATGGTGAGTGGACTCAATGGTCATTGTGGTCATCTTGCAAACAACCTTGTCAAAGCAGTAAACAAACAAGACACCGTAATTGTAGTAATCCGTTACCAAAATATGGCGGAAGACAATGTAATGGAACTGACATCGAATATAAAAATTGCTTCTCAGATGAATGCAAAAGTAACTAACTACCTAATTAACTAAGAACCTTTTGATTAACTTTTGCATTTTTATTCATTTTTTAAAAAAAACTTTAAATTTTATTTATTGATAAATTTTTTTTTTTAATTATTGAAACAGACAGAACAATTATATTTGTTTGTTTGTTTTGTTTGCCTTTTTCGTGTTTTTTTTTTTTTTTTTTTTTTTTTTGTGTGTGTTTTCTTTTTTTTATTTTGTTTTTTTCATTATATTAATGAAATTAGTTTCAAGCAGATTGAAAGACTATTTATATAAGGCGTTAGGTGAAAGAAATTAAAGACCAAAAAAACAATTTATAGAAAACTTAAAAAACTGTAAACTGTGTGAGTCAAGGAAACAAAAGGATGCAAAAGAATTCCAAAACAATAATGTTTAAGGAAAAAAATGGATATATAAAGATTTTTTTAGCACCAATGAATAGTTTCAGTGCATAGTGGGGCACAATTGTCTAAAAATGGCAAAACTATTTATGGGTTGAATACGATACATGTTTATAGAGTTAATACATGTTTATAGAGGTTATCACATGTTTATAGATGTGATACATATTTATATAGATTTTTTGGGTCAAAAATTTCATTATTAGGCTCCATTTTAATTTTTGGAATAGTCATGACCTCACAAATGATTATATTAGGGGATGTCATAGGTGGTCAAGGGGCTTCTTAATGGTATTTAAATTAGGTGGGTATGTTGTATATCTAAACATAGTTAACTGCTGTCAGGCAATTTAAATCTGGGCTTATGCAATATTTAGAAGTGGCCATGACCACTAAAATGGTCATTTTAGTAGCGGTCAAGGGTGGTCCTGAGATGTTCAAATGTTTTTCAATTAGATGTAACATGTTGTATGTCTAAAAATAGGTAATCGCGGTAAAGGAATTTGAAACTGGACATATTCAGCCTTCAAGAGTAATCATAACCGCTCAAGAGATCAGAGACAACTTTGTAACATAACTGCAAAGCATTTATATCAAAAGATCATAATTTGTTTTTGGCATGGAGAATTTAATTGTGTAGTGCTTTCTGTTGTTTAGTCTAAAACATGAGTATAAGGGTGTATGAAATGACTAAGAGTCTAGAAAATTAGTTTAAGGGTGTGTGAAATGATCATTTTAATTAAATATTATGACTATTTTAATTAAAATACATTATAATTAAACTGTTTTAATTAAACTTTTTGGTTTTATGGCCGTTTTTTATAGTAACAAAAATAAAAGTATAATTTTCTTGATAAAAAAGACATTTAAAAAAAGTTATTTTGACGGCAATAAAACTGAAAGTACAAGATGATGAAGTTTTCTTGCTTTCAACACAAGGAAAAATTAAAAAACTTTTTTTCTCGTAAACAAGCTAAATTTAACTCTTTGTTAAACTTAACTCTTCTTTTTAAAAAAATAAAAACTTTTTGCATACATAAATAAAAATAATGAAAATTCTCTTCAGTGACGGATCCAGCATTATTTTGTATTTGAGGTAGCTAACTTCCAGACATAGAGCAAGCTCAAACATTTGTATGTTTATACTTATATCAAATAATTATGTTTTTCAAAAAATTGCGATGATTGGAAGCTGGAACAAACAAGCCTTAAAAATTTGGGCACTCCTTAAAACACCACTTACCCCAAACGCGAGGACAACAATTTGATAAAATATTTTATGTGCTTTTCTCAACTAGACTTATATTCATTAATAAATTTTAAGTTTCATATTATTATCTCTCAGCATTCAAAAATTATGACCGTTTTAAGTTTAAACGCCTTTCACTTGAGGGGATTACAAATTTTATATGGTCATAATTTTTGAACCCTAAGAGATAATACTATGAAACTTAAAACTTATATATGAATAAAGCTTAGTTAATAATAGTGCAAAAAATATTTTATCAACTTGTTGGTCTCACGTTTGGGTTAAGGTGATCCGTTACCATATCCGTTGAAGTACCACAATAAAGTTTATCAAAACATCTAACGGTGAAAAATCTTTCAATAAACCGTTGATAAACACTTTGATTTATTAACTTCTCTAATTGTATCATATCCTAAGATAAAAGTGCGCAGGCTTAGCATAAGGAAAATTTTCCGATGCGAAGAAATAAAGAGGCATTTCTTTAATACGGTTCAAATAACCTTGCCAATCTCCCATGCGTTCAACTCTGATAAACTCCTTTGTAATCAACATCTTATTAAGGTATTGTATCCATAGTTTTGATGTAGGTCCTTGTTTTTAAAAGTTTTTTATTTTTTCATTAAACTTATAAAGTGCATTGGACATTTCATTATCATCGCCACTTTCAATATCAGTATATAAAACTTTGTTATTTATGACATCTTTAATCTTAATATCAAGATTTGCTACCATCTTTTCATCAGCAGCAAGATCTTTTGAAACTTTTATAGCTAAAGTGAGCTGGAGTATTTAATGGAGCTCAAATGGCACGCTTACGCTAACAGTTTTAGCGTAAGCGTGGCATTTGAGCTTATTTTCTAACAACTTAGGTGCATAAATTAACGAAAGTACTTTTTGTATACCACTTCCTTGCATAATATAACCAATTTATCTAAAAAATGACATTAGTAAATGAAATTCTTCAAGTCTTATTATGATCTTTGATAGTTCAGATTCATCAGGTAATGCAAATACAATTTCTCGACCATTTGCATACAGAAGTTACTTAGTGGCCGTTGTGTTTGTAAAGCACAAAGTAAAGTCGTGTATATTGTACTGTAGTTACTTGCTGTTAGTGAATAAACGGTAAGAATAAAAATGTAGACTTTTCTAGAAAAATTCTGAATACTACTTGTTAAACGTTCGATATAACCATTCCAACCGGGTAACAATAACTTCTTGCATTAACCATAAAACCATAATGTTTTAACTTTTTGAATTAAAGATATTAGTGCTTCACTTTCATATGGTAAATTTTGCACATTTTTTTACTATAACCTACTACGCTATTTTTTTGATAGATTTGAATAAGCACATGTGCTTATGTTGCAAAATCTTTTGCAGAAAGGATTTCCTTTAATTGTGGTATATGATCCTCTTGTAAAACTGAACCTTTGAATTGATACCCATTATGTGAAGCAAGTTATTACCGTCTAAACTATTTATATTTATATCAGTATTGTCCGCAACATATTGAAAAAATGTGCCAGTTTGTGGTGGTAAGATAAAAGGCAGACGGTAAAGAACTGCTGCTGCCTCATACATTAAAGTGTCATTGTAGGATACACATAAACCAAAAGAAAAAAATATTTGTATGAAAAGTTTGGAACCAAACCATTGATGGAAAAATACCAAAAGACCCAATTGCAATTTTGATTTAAAAGACCTAGGTTGTTCTTCTTCTTTATTTTGGTTTTTCTTCTCATACCAAGCTTGGGTAAAAACATCGCTATGAGCGTTCAAAAAACAAATAAACGTTAATTCTCCCGGTTTTTCAGTAATAGTAATTTTATTACCAAGTTTTATTAACTTTTTATAAAACTTTTTATAAAATTTTATTAACTTTAACTTTAATCGTGTCTTAATTGTTCCGTTATTTAATCGTGTCTTAATTGTTCCGTGGATTTTTGCAAATATTTTTTATTTCATCTAACGAAAAATGGCAATCATTGCTGTTTTCAATGTATTTAAATATTTCTTCTATCGCAACAATCGTAAATTCATCTTGAGGACAACCAATTTTACACCCACTCACTGGTCTCAAGAAAGATTTATAATAGGTATTATGGTATTCAGCCTCAGTAGCAACTAAATCAAATTCATATTTAATGCGTGCAGTAAACTTTTTTGCTTCTTCATAAGAACAACTCCATGCTATTTTCAGAATTGATTTTTTAAATTCAAGAGTTGCAACTTTCGCTTTCTTCTTCTCGGCCTACTCGTTCGCTTCATCGCCGCAAAATAAGCAACATTTTTTTAAATAAAAAAGTGATTTACTTACGCGTGCTCTGGTACGAGGTGGACTATTTTCAGATATGCTGACTTGATTGGTATCTTGCTGTCTTTTAAATGCAACAATAGTACTCTTCTGAGTTTCTTTTTTTAGGCAAACCACATGAATTGTCACAGACTTCAGATCTTTCAGGTATTCATAAAAATTGTCACTTCTTTTAACACTCGTATCAATCAAAGTCTTCATTCCATGATCAACAACAACAATTTGTCTTGCTGTTAAATGGTTACTAGAAACAAAACATAGTTGCGTCATTTTAATAAAAGTATTAAACAGTTCTAATATATAATAAAAAATACGACTCGATACTATTCACTGCATTAGAACGTTCAACACTAAAGTATTTCATCGTTCGTAACTTTGTTTCAAGAATTTTGGGAAGTCAGACGAGAAAAACTAGTTTAAAAAAATTATTTGAAAAAAGGACTTTTCATTGTTCTTATACAAAATCAGAGAAAAGTCGCTGAAACAGTTTATTCAAAAATGCCTTAAAATACGCATTCGCATTTGTTTAATTTATTTTTATGCTAAAACATTTCCTTTTTTAAAAAAAAAAATATACATTTTTTTTATACCTTTGACATTAAATAACTTTTATAGCAGATATGGGATCAATGGGGACTTTTAATATTTTATTTGTAATAATTCACTCAAGGTATGCACTAATTTTCAGCTCTATGCGAATTATTGCAAATCTACCACTATTTTAAAATTTGTGTTTTAATAACATTTAAAGCATTGGCTTTTAAAAAATCGTTTTTAATCTTACTTGTTATTTTCCACACCTATAAAAATATTTTTTTTCTTTTTAATAGTGTTAGGTTTTAAAGTTTTTTGAAATTTTTTGAAAACAATAAATGAAAAATACGTTGAATTGTTTTATCTGATTGTGTACGTAAATTAACAGATATAGTCATCATAATACTTATATCGATTATCTTTTATTTCAAGTTGCAAAAATTTAATATAAAAGAGTTACCTACTATTTAAAAAAAATAGAGGATATAATTTGTGTGATTGTTTTTTTGATGACATAAATATATATATATATATATATATATATATATATATATATATATTATATATAGATATATATATATATATATATATATATATATAGTATATATATATATATATATATATATATATATATATGTATATATATATATATATATATATATATATATAGATATATATATATATATATATATATATATATATATAAATATATATATATATATATATATATATATATATATATATATATATATATATATATATATATATATATATATATATTCATATATATGTATATATATATATATATATATATATATATATATATATATATATATATATATATATATATATATATATATATATATATATATATATATATATATATATATATATATATATATATATATATATATATATATATATATATATATATATATATATATATATATATATATATATATATATATATATATATATATATATATATATATATATATATATATATATATATCTATATATATATATATATATCTATATATATATATATATATATATTCCAACAGTGAGTTGTCATGTGGCCTAAAATTAGTCTTCCATTTTTGGATTCTTTCCTTTACTTGATAGGCAGTTTATGTAAAAGTACTAGTAATTTTTCATTAGAGATAAAAATATTGATATATAATATAAAAATATCTTTAAATTAAACAGAATAAGTTTATATAAACCCATCAGATATGATTTATACCATTATAAAGATAAAAACTACTGTACTTAAATGTAGTAAAAACCAATTATTGGAACATAGTAATAAAAGAAATAAGATAAATACATACTACAACATAAATCTAAATTTTTATTAAATAAAATTATCTCACTGTCTTAGCTACAAAAAATAAGATCACCTTTTTTAAAATCAATTAATAAAGGACATGACCATACTTCATCAAGTTTGTTTTCATACTTAATAAGGTATATGGTTCGTTTAGCATTTAATTGATCAATTTGTATCACTTGCGCACGTTCCCAAGAAACTTTAAGTCAATCTTCTTCTCTAACACAATGTTTCATAGAAAAACCTACAAAATCAGATGGGTTTGTTAATAAGTTTTCATAAGGTATGTTTTTTTCTTTTGTTTTAATAATTTGTTTAGTCGTTCATCCTGAATTTTTTCCATTAATTCTTTTTTTTTCTTTCAACAGCTGCATCACGTAATAATAGAGGCTTTAATTTATTACTGATATTTCTTAAAGATTGTTTATTTGATGTTAAATTTGCTTAAGTGACAATAAGAAGATTTTGATATAAATCCTCTAAAGACAAGTTTATTATTTTGCTTTTTTCTACTTTGTTTCACAAAAACGTTTTTTGTCACATTCGACACACTAAGATTATGCAATAAAATTTAGTTGATAAAAAAGCACTTTTGCCTTTAATAGCTCTTCTATATTGCACACTGTTTTCATTACTTCCTCTAATGATATCAATTCCCTTACATTCAAATTAATCAAATTATTACAAGCTACAACTTTTTTTTTTTAAATTTAATTTCTTCTCTATTTTTTTCTTCTTGCTTTGCTAGAAGGTGCATAGCCTTATCTTTTTAAGAGCTCCTTTTCTTTCATCGTATTTGTTTTTCATTATAGTTGCTTTAGTTCTTGAATATTCAAGTAATTGCTTTTTTTCTTTTTCTGTTTTACTATTTAACCATTTTAATGTTTGGTTCTGAGACCACATTGTCAAAGCCTAGATAGCTTGAATATTTGCATTGGGTTTTGTGCAAACCATTAAATACAAAATAGCAAAGTCACTTTCTGATGCATTATTAGTGAAAGGATCATTAGAAGCAGCTTCAGAAACTGAGTAATATGAATTCCAATATTTACCACATGTTAACTGATCAGCACATTTTAAAGTAACAAGAATTGCATGGAAAATAATTTCAAGTGAATGCACAGTCAAAGAACCACACTCAACATTTTTAGTGTATTCAAATAGTTTTGTGTAAACCGCATCTTGATGAAGAAAATTAGTATCCTCAAATATTTTTTCATTAGCAAACAGTAAAGAAGATGTATCCATACAAATAGATAAAAGGCTAATTTTTAGGCGTAGTAGGTAGGGGTTTAACAACAAAAAGCTATCAAGTGATTCAATTCGATACATAGGACCAGTAAGTAGTTTGTTAGTAATACCAAATGCACAAACTTCAGCAATCAATACAAGATTTGTGATATCTTCCTTAAATGATTTTAACAAATTATTAGGGTAAGGCCAAACCTTGAGAAACTCTGTTATAGAGTCCATATGAAAAGGTTGTTAGGACTTTGGATTAACTGGAAAGTTATTATACGCAACCGCAGTAGAACTTAAATATTTCAAGTGTTTTAAAAATGGTTATCGAAACCAATTATAAAAAATTTCTCATCGACACCGAGCTACTTTTTCTAATTTTTGGATATTAAATATGCATTTAGCCTTTTATTATAAAAAAATTACTATAAAAGTAACTTCCAGTACATAATGCAATGATTTAAATAAAATAAAAAACCTCTCAAAATAAATAAAATTAACAAACTAAAGTAGGTAATTTCAGCAATAACTCCAAATTTTTGAGCGTAGAAATTTATTTTTTCAGATAGAATAACTTTTTTTCTACTTCGAAATGTTTACTAATGTTAGTAGTCATTTTTTTTTATAAGAATAAAGTATATTTTTTTAACATTAACTTATTGCTTGCTATTGATAGGCTACTCTAAGGTCAATATATATATATATATATATATATATATATATATATATATATATATATATATATATATATATA